TGTGATCGTAAATAACGCCAAATTTATCAAAAAAAAATCAGGTGCATCACTTTACCAGCGCTTTTAGCAGTTTTGGTCTTCTGCGGTCTTGGGCTGCCTTTATGCTTCCTTTGCATACTTTGAGACTTCAATTCAGGATCGTAATGATAAAACCAACTTTCATCACATGTAACCACATTATTTAAAAACTGTGGGTTACGTTGAAATTGCCTTTTCCACTGCTGACAAATTGTCACTCACTTCATGAATAATTTTTTGAGTGGTACCGTAAGACAAATTAACATTGTCAGAAATTCGTTTTATGCCAATCCGGCGATCATTTTGTATCAAGTCGTTAATTTCTGCAATTTTTGTGTCATTTCTCGCAGTTTGTGGTCGACCGGGACGAGGTTCATCTTCAACTGATTCACAACCGTCTTTAAACTTTTTATGCCACTCAAACACTCTACATCGTGATAAACTATTATCTTGATATGCACCTTTAATCATTTCAAAAGTTTCAGTTGGTGTTTTACCCAATCGAACACAAAATTTTATCGCGTATCTTTGCTCCACTTTCATTTTTCGATGGGTACGCAAAACACTGACAATTCAATAATTAATTTGTAACAAATGTCAAAAGTTAAATCAAAGCGAACTTGCGGGGTAGTACATTAAATATAAGGCTTTCATGTCTCATTTTTTGGGTTATAAAATGTTACCTCTGAAAGAAGTTATAGCACCAGTCTCGTTATATAATATCCTCGTACATGTAGATCATTTTGTTTTGTTTTGCGGAATTAAAAAAAAAACACTTATTTTATTATATAAACGGTTTCATTTAGTTTATTTCAATATATTGTTTTCTTATGTCTTATTTTGTTACTTATTTATTTTAAATTTTACGCTTTTGAACTTGCTTTATACCTGAAAAGATCAATAAAATACTAATAACATAAATACAAGTTCGTTTGTTTATTTCCAACGCCTTTGGTCGAATATCGTTGGTGTCAGAATGGAACAAGATTTTCATCGGCATTATGAGTCCTCTCTTTATCACCTGTTCTAAGGAAAATACCAAGCATGACACATTGCTAAAATAGTATATTGTGCAACCAAGTGGGGAACGTTCAACTTTTCTCACGAGTGTGGAAGTTTGTGATACGAGCCTGAAGGGCGAGTGCCGCAAACACACGAGGGAGAAAAGTACTTTCCCCACATGTTGCACACTATACTTAATCTATAACTGCACAAATTTAAGGAATACAAGTAAAGTAACTTAATATTTATTTTTATTATTAGCAAATCTAAACATTAAAGTATCCAACTTCTTAAAGTTAAGTAATTTATGAATTTTTCGTATGCCAATTCTACTTTTTTTGAAATTACCGGCAACAAATCTAACGTTACTTTTTTAGCTTTTTCCAGTATCTCTGGCGGAGTATTATCAAAATCGTCACTAGTGTCAGTGTATCCATGCTATTTATTATAAATAGGTATATGTCTTATTAAAATATTTAACGGAAATTTCGATTTTTTATCAAAGTAGGAATGAAAAACTACCTTAAAATTTTAAAAAACGATCATCCGACTGTTGTGATAACTATTTAAAGCTGAACAGCAGCCAACTAAGTTTTTGTCGATTTTTGTTGATTCTCCATATAAATCTATGTGGTGTGGGCAAAGTGCCGTGAGAAAAAATATTTCTCACAGTATAAGCAATACATGGTTTTGAAATTAAGTAAGCTATGAGAAATACGCTACTTTCCATAGCAGTTGTATAAAAATGTATAGGTAAGTTTTTTCATTTATTATTGGTGGTTTTCACTAAGCTACCCAATCGTTCCACCGTTGTTCCGAGGCGGTGGAAAGTTTTGAAAGTGACAAATTGACAAAACTAACGTCACAAGGAGTAGTACTATATCTACTTCTAGAGCCAATTAATGCAGTAATACCAAGTAATACTCATAAGTAACGTTTTTTCCATTATTTATCCATTTTTCTAATTTAAATCATAAATGACAAATGGCATGACAAATGACTTGGCAAATGATGTTCTTTTATTCAGCACTAATCGTTCCACAGATAATCACCCAACTAACAATGTAGCTTTATTATTTATAGTTTACAAGACTATTATATTTTATTGATATTATATTGTTGTTTCTGAAATGCTAATTTATTGTACTAAAATTGCAGAAACCACTATTAGACCAGAGCATACTGGCGCATTCGTTTGCAAATCTGTTTTAATTCGTAATTTTTTTTTAAATGTCCGGAAGGCTTTCCTTATTATAAAAGTGTAAGATGACACTCGATATTTGTTGATGTTATTGTTTAAACAACGAAAAATTAATTAAGTCAGAAAAAATGCATTTTTTGCATTGAATTAATTTTTATATTCTTTAGGATATTTCGAATAAAAAAAGTCCTTACACCCATCATCGTATCTGCAACCCTTTAATTGTTATGAATTTTTTAAAATCCAAAATTGACGAAAATTCTAATTTTCTTGAATTAAATAATATACCTTAAAATTTAAAATGCTATAATTTTAAATTTTTTACCGAATATTCAAACTATAATAAACAAAATTACCTAAATAAATTTTCAAAGTTTGTTTGATGTTATGTTTTTTTACCTTATAACAATATGCTTCCTACGCGCGTGTACTTTTAGAGAGAAGTACTTCTAAAAACTTAATTTAGATGTCTTGCTATTTAATGATTTTTTATTTATTTTATAGCTATTAGTGTACTAAATTATTGGTATAAAAATTGTATTTATAATCTCGTGCTAAATGTGTTTTTTTTTTTTGGTCGCTTTGTTCTCATTGTCGTTTGACGACAAAACACCTGACTTTTAAATCATTGCTCGGCTATAAGTTTTCGTTTAATCAATTAACAAAAACCTAATAAATATTTGGTATAAAAATTATATTTATAATCGCATTGTAAATGTGTTTGTTTCGTCCCTCCCCGTCTTTGTGTAAGATTATCATATTTTAACTAATAATTCAAATTGAATTAATCCATTTTTTTTTTTTTTTCAATAAATACACTAATTTTTATTTATTTCTAAACTTTCATGATACTAAAGTCCACCTAAACCTAAGAATTTGCCGAATAACAATATCAAAACATTAACGGACCGCCGCCGCGCAGTTTGTCTTCTAGCTTCAGCCTCATACATAATAAAATATAGGACTTTTCTGCACTATTTAATCAATATAGTTACAAACAAAATAATTGTTTTGTTCAATTTATATTATCTATTAATATTTATACAGTATAAATAACTCGTTTCTTCTTTATTTATAAATTGATAAATACTACGAGGTCCGATAAGTTGAAGCAATTTATTAGGAAAAAATCAGTAGATGAAATTAAGAAAAACTATAAAAATGTTCCCAACAATCCATGTGAGAAAAAAAAACCATAAATAAATCACCAAAATTTCAATTTCCCCAAGATCGTGACAGAAAAAAAATACAAAAATTTACCAATCAAAATAAAATCCTACAAAAAAAGCTTTTCAGAAAGTCACTACGAAAAATCACTCAAAAATGTCTTAAGAAATCACTAGTAACAATTCCGAGAAAAACTTTATAATATCCATAAAAAAATTATCCAAAAATAAAATAAAATCATAATTCCTAGAAAAAAATACCTAAAACAAAAAACATCCACAAGAAACCTTTGAAAACTCATAAAAAATCGCAAAAATCACAATGAAAAAGATAATAGAGAAATAAAAACTTTGATAGAAATTTGACGTGCAAAGCTATATTTTGTATATTAAAGGTAAGGTAGGTAGATGTCCTTATTTATCTAATAGTGAACTTTTTACTATACCTTACCGTGCAAATTTTTGAGAAAATTTTTTTTTAAAAATGTGTGTTTGTACAGTGTCTTATGAGAAAGTAAGACTTCAACAACAATTTTCGAATTATAATTAATTTTACTATTATTTATTGATTAGATGGAGTAGAAAAAAACTAAAAATAAGGTTTTTTGAAATATTTAGGTTTTGTTTTTTTACAATAAAATATATAGGTTACCGTGGAATTTATTGAGAAATTATTATTAAAAAATCACAAAAAATTTTCAACTAGGTTACTTGAAATTTTTTAATATTAATTTCTCAATAAGTTCCACGGTTTACTATATATATTTTATTGTATAAAACAAAATCTAAATATTTCAAAAACCTTATTTTTAGTTTTTTTCTACTCCATCTAATCAATAAATAATAGTATAATTCGAGAATTGTTGTTGAGGACTTACTTTCTCGTGAGGCACTGTACAAATACTCACATTTAAAAAAAAAATCTCAAAAATTTGCAAGGTAAGGTACCTATAGTTAAAAGTTCAGTATTAGATAAATAAGGACTTCAACTATTAGAAAAAAATTAATTTTAGTCATAATCTAATAACTTTTTTTTTTAACATTGGAGGCGAGAGGTGTGGCGAAAGGACCTCCTTAATAAGTGACCACTCACCATATTTTCAAAACTTTCAGTTGATGGACATATTATACTTGTGTGTATTGCATATTATTTTAAGATATTAAATTTAATTAAACCTACAACCCAGATATTTTAATTATAGATTCCATAAATATTGTACTAAATCCAAGTCCTGTTCTGTAAAATATCTGGGAAATACATTGTGTTCCTAATGTTTGGAAACCATTTCTACATTATAAATAGAAATGCAAGCCTTCCGGTTTTAAATGGCCAACGTTTACGATAATTACTATTGACAAAAACTTATCTACGGGGGACTAACAAAAATGTGTTTCCAAATAAAAAAAACAAAATATACCTATCTTTTTGCTGTTTATTGATTTCAAATGAGCATTTGAATCTCAAATTAAAGTTTTTTTGGATTGATTTCTTTTTTTTTTTTTAATAATTTAAATAGAATTAATTTGAAGAAAATAAAACTATATTATTGGGAAACTAAAAATATATATTAAAATGTGTTTCAATGAAAATATAAGATAATTATTTTACTCACCTCATTATCGAGATCAGCTTTGCCGTTTGAGAACAACACCTGAAAATACGAAATAATTTTAGATATTTATACTTTTTTCACAAAATATTAATAAAAAATAATTATAAACCGTTAGGTATAATGGGTAATATTTTACAGTGGCGGCTTGTCCTAAGGGGCCAAAAGGCCTTGGCACTGGCGCAGAATTTGTTAATATTTCGGTCTCTAAAAATATTCCTTTTTATATAATTATTACAATTGTCGGATCAAATTATGGCTAGTGGCCCGGCTGCTTTAGATATCAATCCATTGTAAAAGTTTTACTAAAAGTCACGCCATTCGCCTGTAGAAAGCCGGGATCCAACGGCGCGTGGAGTGGCAATCCTGGGTTGTGACTTGAGTCTCAAGGGCCAGACCCTCGGTCGGACCGTTCCCACGGTGCATGAGGATCGCGCAGACGTGGACACGCGCCTATTGCAGTCTGTTTTACGACGACAGTGTTGGCGATAAAAATTTCATAATTTGCTTTAATTGCACGAAAAGATGAACCGTGAGCGGGACGCGTATCGTTGCTGCCTCAGCCTTTTATTTTATGTTAGGAGTTTACAGAATGGCAAAAGGACAAAAAATAAAAAGAAAACAAAGAAGATGGTGGAGAGTGTCTTTATATAGAAATCAAGATAGGTAAGTACATTATAGAATATTTTGCAACAAGTGTTGAAAACTGATTTTCACATACGTTATACACTATAATTTTTCTACTAATATTAGTGTGTGACTTTTAAATTTAGTTCAAAAAACCGAAAAAATGGGAGCCAAGAACCCTCAGGCATCATAATCTAAGTTCTTGTTTTTATGGTTTGGATCCCGTGGGTTCCAAATAATCGGCTCGGCTTCATAGAATGATAAAAATTCTAACACCACTTCTTTAGACCACTCCATGGTGAAAGTTACTACGGCACTGACAGTACCACGCTCCTAGACGCGCCGTTGGAGTTATAAGCACGTGTTTCGCGCCAACGTTCGCGCCCCTTTGAACCGTGTTGATTTACCGACAGACGACGGGACTCATCGCGCCGACCGAATATTGGCAAGCCTGCCCTATCCAACGGAGCGGGAACTGACAAGTTTGGCGCGTGGAGTGCCACTCCACATTCAAATGGAGCCCACGTTTCAAGCGGCTCTGAATGAATAGTTAGAATAAAATTGTTTCAATCGCGTGTTCGGCGAGTTCGGCGTAATGCTTTTGACATTTTATGCGTGCTGAATTTTTGTTTGTTAGGTAGTTAGAATAGTTGAGTTTTTAAAGTATAATAAATTAAAAATCGTCCGAGAGTCCGTAGCAAAATGAATAAAATAAGCAATCTGTTACTGAAACCTTTTTCTACGCACTCGGTCGAGGAACAATCCAAATAAAGGAACTTGGGAGACCTCTTCCTGATTTGGAAATAACCAAAACGCAGAAGGCTTCCATCTCAAGTTTGTTAAACTTCAAAGGCCGGATAAGAAAGTATAACCGGAATTTGTACTTAAAAAATAACTGGATTTGTGGATGTGATGAAAAACACGCATTTTTTTGTGTGTTTTGTTCGGGGGCGATTCTTCGTAGACGATGCATAGTGTAAGTGATTTGGTACACATTTATGAGAAAATTAAACCACATGAAAACAGTAAGGTCCATGTAAATAATATTTTTAGTTATTCTTTGCTTGGAAAATCAAATATACTAACTCAATTAAATTCGGTTTATAGACAAAATATTATTACCCACAATAAACAAGTTGATAAAAAAAGATATATTATAAACATCATTATTAACTGTATTAGATTTTGTGGAGCATTAGAATTAGCATTACGCGGACATGATGAAACCGAAGAATCCAAAAATAAAGTAATGTTCCGTGAACTGATAGATTTTAGTTCTGAATTTGACGCAGATTTAAAAGAACATCTCAACAAAGCAACAGTATTTAAAGGGACCTCTAAGACCATACAGAACGAACTATTGGACTGCATGCTTGGCGTTTACCATGAAGAAGTAGCTAAAGAAAAAAAAACGAATTAAGTAGCTGTAATTGCTGACGAAACTACCGATGTTGCTAACGAATTTCAATTGGTCATTATTTTACGATACATTGCCTCCAGTAAACCTGTAGAAAGATTTTGGAAATTTGTAAATCCTCCCGGACACAATGCCATTTCAATAGCAAATTGCTTTTTAAATGAAATTAATGACACACCAAATAAGTTGATCGCGCAGAGTTACGACGGAGCGTCAGTCATGAGCGGAGATATGAATGGGGTACAAAAAATAATTAAAGATAAATATTCTTTAGCAAATTATGTTCATTGCTATGCACATCAGATTAATCTTATAATGAGCAGTGCAGGTTCAATTAATGTGTCTGTTCGGATTTTTTTCGCTCATTTAACTGGAATTTGTGCTTTTTTTTCTACATCATCTCAAAAAACAAATGTATTTGATGATATAGTTCATAGACGATTACCACGCTCATCACAAACGATGATGGGATTTCCAATAAATTTATACAGTTTATGAATACCGAAATGAACTGATACACGTTATGGATATTTTAGAGAATGACATAGGTATTAAATTAAATTCTACGATTGAGCGAGCCGGTGATTATAAACTTAGATTACAGGACAGAGATTTCATATTTTGGTTAACAGTTTTTTATAAAGTCATGCCACATGTCGAAATAATTTTTAAGCAACTGCAGACGATTAATGCCGACGTTAAACAAGATCTAAAAAACTTTGATAATGCAAATGCAAAAAATTCGTAATGAAATGGATAAAATTATTGATAAAATAGACTCGGAGCTTTTAGAAACCGAAGATGAACTTGTTCCTCAGAAAAGGCGACGTTACCCTCGTTCCGATCTATCTGTTTCAACAAATAGAAAAATAGAAGACTTGGAAGATTGCGATTCCATTATACAACAGATTAGGACACTTTCGCAGGACATCTGATAGCTACCGCATTATTCATGAAAGAACATTTTATCGAATACCAAAAAAAAACTTTCCTGAATTGCTCTCTGATACAGTTAACGCATATCAATTTCTAGAAAAAAATCGTCTAAAAACAGAACTGCAAGTACTTTACAATAGAGAAGAGTTAATTGCAAACCATTTCTGGAGCCATTTCTCTGTGAAAACTTGGTTTGGCAGTTTCAAGAAACTATTAAATTACTGGAAGTTTTAGTGACAACACCTATGTCAACATCCGAAGCTGAAAGATGTTTCTCTATATTAAAGAGGATAAAAACTTTTTTACGCAACTCAATGATAGAAGAAAGACTAAGTGCGTTAGGAATGTTATCAGCTGTGTTTCTAAATAACATTGACGACTTTAATAGACGAGTGATTGACCTTTTCGCTAATAAAACAGAACGAAGACTAGACTTCAAATATCGTTCAATGAAAAATATTCTTTATTTTACTGGATGGGTTTGGAATGCCCATTTAATATCTATAATTAACGCACTAGCAACGAAAGGGGTAAAAAACGTAAAAACTGATGAAGAAAACTCGAGTTAGAAAAAAAATCATGTTTCCTCTCCTTTCCTTATCTGTTTACAGATAGGAAAATAAAAATAGATGTTTGTAAACACTAACTGAATATAATTATTTTTTATTGTAAATTGCATCAACCCCAAATTAAATTTTGTTTGTTTGCCATCTAATGTAAGGCAAAAGCTTTCTTTAGCCGTTTCAAATTTCTTATGCAAAATGTATTCCTACTAAATTCAGTGTTTACGGAAAACTCAAATTTTCTAATGTTTTTATGTTACTTTGGTGATTTGGCAACTAAGTGTAATTATGGTGGCCTAAAATTAAACACACCAGTACATTAAAATATTATTTTTATTACGTTGAGATTTTCTAAATCATCTTGTATAAGTTTCCTTCCGGAATAATGTATCTAATACTTTATTAGCATACTAAATGTAGGCAACATGATAAACACTTAAGAGTATAACTGGTTGCATACATTATTCAAAGACCAGTTAATTAAGTACTCATTTATTACTTATTATGGAGGTGTACATTTTTACCTAATAATTTTTATTATGTAATGAAATTATACACGAAAAAACAAGTTTCAACACTTTTAACTTTATAATTAACACTGTTTTATAAATTTGTTATCAGATTAATTAAAATTATAAAAAAATAATTATCAAGTACAGATATTTTTCCGTTATTGCAATTACTGAACCTTATATAATATCTAGAGCTAGCCAACCAATTAATAATTTTAATTATTTTACTTGTATAGTAAAAAAATTATTATATATCATTAGTAGGTATTTTATATTTAAACAGTAATTTAGAATGCTGAAAAATTTCAAAACAAATTTCAATACACATTTTCTCTCGTTATTTTTATTTTATTGCAATTGATTCATAATTTTACAAGGATTATTTGAGCACATAATATTCACTCTAGAAAGCTAATGCTAATAAAAGAATTAAAAGGCCCATATATATCAACACCCACCAATTAGAAAGGCATACAGGAACTGGACACGTAACAATTTCTAAAAAGTTGTAGATTTGAAGAGAATTTAGAAATAATGAAGAAGAACATCATGACTGGATTGAACAAATTACTGAAAATATCATCTAGACCAGGAAGAAGTGTTTTATAAAATAAAAAACAATATTAATCCAAAAAAATTCTTGTTAATAACTCAATAACCGGTAAAATTTAGAAACAATTAATTTTAAAAACAACTTATCTAAGCATGCCATAAATGTCTTTACGATAATATTCAGCTCATTAAGTAGAAGTATTTTTGAAATAGCTTGGGAGACCGTCAGAGATGTGAACTGGTAAATTACCGATAAATTACCGTGGTAATTTACCGTAATTAACCAGAAATAAATTACAGTAATTTACCCGTAATTTACAAAGTAAATTACCGATTTTTGTGGTAAAAAATTTACGTTATTTACCGTTATTTACCGTTATTTACCATTATATACGGCATTTTCTGGTAATTTATCATATTTCGCGAAGGCGACGC